AGGGAAGGAAAAAAATGGCGCCATTTATATCCACGCTCCCTTCACTCGTAAATCCCCGCGGAGCTCCAAGTCAGCACTATGAAGGGGCTGTCAGCTTTTGGCCGTTCCGCTGACGTTACTGCTGATGTAGGTACTCATTTGTATGTAGAGTGCTGGTCATATCAACACCTAGATCACTTGTATCAATAAAGGAGTATTCTCGTCTGCCCTTTTATGGTTGTCTCCCTTTCAGGTTAAAAGATTATTTTCTCTCGTCATCGTTATTGGGTTGGGAGCTTCTGCTTGTCTGGGTATTGCGTCTTTCATTTGTTTTTTTTCTTGTTTTTTAATTGTTTTGTGTCTTCTTTCTGTGTTATTACTTTGAGAGCTTTCAGAAAATATGTTTTGTTCTTTATTGTTTTTCTCTTTCCTTTGTCATTATTTTCCTGGAATTTTTGTCGGTGTTTATCGATCTTCTTTTTCTTTCGCATTTCTTTGTGTCATATCAGTACTGCATTTTTTTTTTATCTTTTGTTCTTCCCTTTATTGTCTCTTTATCTCTATTTTCCCGGATTTTTTTTTACTTTGTTTTTCTATATTTTGCGTCATTGTTCTCACCGTTATTCCACCTTCTTTCTTCCTTCCTTTTTTCTCTTATTCTACTGTCGCCAACTCTACTCCAGATATTTTAATTTTCATTTTTTTCTTTATCTCTTTCTTTTTCTTGTCATCATTAGCATTCCGGAGAAAAATATTTTTTGTATCTTTTCCTTCTTTCTTTCCTGCGTTATATATATATGTATGTATATATATATATATATATATATATATATATATATATATATATATATATATACATATACATATATAGATAGATAGATATACGAAAAGCTTTTACCTTCGATTTTACCCCAATATTTTTCTTTCTTTTTTCTCTCTCGCTTTCTCCATCAGGAAAATTACACCCGAGAACTTTTGTCCGCTGTTATTCCACATTTTCTATTTTTTTCACTCCTTTCGCTCTCCTTTTTCTCTTGCTATTTGCCCCCTTTTCTTTTTTCTCTCATCTTTCCTCCTCCCTGCTTGTCCCGATTTTTCTCTCTCTCTCTTCTTTTCTTTTTTCCTACCTCTTTTTTTCTCTTTTTTCCTTTGTTATTTGTCCGAATATCTCCACGATGCTTTAACGAGCGTGGCTTTTGTTTGCGAGACGTTTGGCGGCGACCGTTACAAATGGCCGCCGGTTTCTTTTACCTGTGTTTTTGTGTGTCAAAAGTGCGAAAGAGAGAGAGAGAGAGAGAGAGAAAGAGAGAGAGACAAAGGAGAGTGAGGGAGGGAGAGAAGAAGATGCAGAGGGTGAGGGGAGGGAGAAGGAGATGGAGAGAGCGGGAGGGGATGAGAGACGAAANAGGGAGAGAGGAGGGAGAGGGAGAGGAGATGGGAGAGATGAAGGGAGAGGCGAGAGAGAGAGAAGACAGAGAGAGAGAGATGAGAGAGAGAGACAGAGAAGAGAGGAGACACAGAGAGAGAGAGACTAGAGAGAGAGAGAGAGAGAGAGAGACGACGAGGAGTCAAGAAGAGAGAGAGAGAGAGAGAGAGAGAGAGAGAGAGAGAGAGAGAGAGAGCGATGGGAGAGAGAGAGAGAGAGAGGAGAGAGGGAGAGAGAGAGAGAGGGAGAGAGAGAGAGAGAGAGAGAGAGAAGAGAGAGATGAGAGAGAGAGAGAGACGCAGAGAGGAGAGAGCAGAGATGAGAGGAGAGAGAGAGAGAGAGAGAGAGACAATGGAGGGAGGAGGTCAGGGAGAGAGAGAGCCAGCAGTGCATGAACAGGGAGATGTTATGAACGAGTAGCAGATGAGAGATGAGGAGACGCGAGACCGTAGACGAGTAAGCAGATGTCACCGTGAGTTAGAGATGCACCGAGTACGTAGACGAGAGAAGAGAGAAGCGACGGAGGAGATTTTGTATGTTGAGAGAGCGGAGAGAGGGAAGTGATCTGAAAGAGAGAGAGAGAGGGGGAGAGAGAGACAGAGACAGAGATTTTGCCGGATTTCCGCGACGCTTCTTGGGCGTATTGCAGCGTCTCCCCGTCCGGCATGCGAGGAGGCGCAAAACCGAGGAACGACGGGCTTCAGAGCTGGACAGGGAGCATGGATCGCATCGATAATGTGCTCGCGCATCGATGCGAGCGATGTTGCATGCAGCGTCCAAGATCAGCTGTTTCGTCACCCGACGACGGATACGGTTACTCGAGTAACATTCGTCAGTCAATTCCAATTCCTATTTCCAGATATTATGACTTCAATGCATTCAGTGTCTCGTAGTGTAGAACCACTGGCTTTTGAGACAGTTCTCTATGTCTTGATAAAGTCTCAGATAAATGGTTGTCTTCTGAATGTGCTGATGCAATTTGGTTTTCTATTTTATGTATTAACTATGCTAGATATAACCAATCAACGCATCCTCTCTCATATATCTCACGGTCTTCAAGACATACCCGCAAGGAAACAAACTGTGAGCCATTTTTCATCGAATGCATCCTTCGTCAGGAATGTTTGTCTTGAGGGGGAGGAGTTTCTTCAAGTCCGTTCCTGGGAAGTGGTCGTAATGGCGCAGCAAGCCGCCCACGCCCATGCGCAGCGCTCTGAAGTTGAGATAATAATTTTTAGACTCTGTTATCAAATCTAATTTAGTAATATAAATTTGGACCTGTCTTGATTTTAAATATTTAGAAAATTGCTTATTCCACGGTGACTATAAGCAACAGACATGCCTGTCTTGTATTTGATCCTAAATATATGACACAATTGTCTTACTGCACATGTACTGAAAATTAACTGGGAATTCTTCTCTCAAGGGGAAAGGTTAAATGTAAAGTGAGTTGCCAACTTCTTGCCTCACATTCTCACTCGCCTCGTCTCGGTCCCGCCGTAAACAGTGTTGCCATCGATCACTCCGGTCAGGATGTTAATCTGATTGCGTTGCCCTGAAATGTTGTGTTACATTTTACTCTTTTGCTGTGCGCGCGCGCACAGTGTAAGGTTCGCTTCGCATAGTTCCTAAATGTATCTATAAATTGGTATTTCTTAAGTAACAGGTATACACGTGTGATCCTAGCCCACGTGTGACCTTAACCCTTTTGTGACCCTAGTATAGCCTATTTATTTAACACGACATCTATTCCCAGCGTCCGATGTTATCACACAAATAACGCCATGTACATATTACACTACGGGGAGCATTTATAAACGCTACGAGGCTCTATATATCTGTCGAAAGTGAATCAGGGCCGAGCGTGGAGGGGGGGGGTGTTTTCCTCCCAGCAATGAGGAGGTGAGGGCCAGAATTCTGACCACCAAAACCGAACCCCGAAAGAGCCTCTTCGCTGGCCCTCTGAAGGCTAGTACCTTAGTACACCTGTCCCTAGCGATCCAGTGTCTGCCTAGTCGACAGTTCTGCGGGACGCCCGGGTATCCTCGCACGAAGTCGATGCATCGGAAGCGGAAGAGGCTGTAGAACCGGTCGTCGCGAGGGACGTCGATCTGCAGGCAGTAAGGGCTCCTGAGGCCGGGCGGCGGCGCGCGCGCAGCAGCCTCGGGCTCTCGTTGCGGCTCACCGGGTCTGGACCGCGGGGGAGGGGCCGGGGGGCATGGCGAGAACAATGGCTGGTGTTAGTGTTACTGCCGTTACTGGTATGCGCATCATGGTATCATTGTCATTATTGTTCCTACTATGAATATCACATGATCGTTAACATCATTATTTTTATAATTATGATGATAATAATAATGATTATTATCATCATTATCTTTATCATCATCATAACCATCACCATCATTATTACTATCATCATTATTATTATCACTCACTGCTTTTACCAATATCACCATCATCATAATTATTTTCATCGTTATCCCTATTACAATCATTATAATTACTATTATTACTATTATTTTTGTTATCATTATTATTATCATTACTATTATTTTCAGCATCATTTTTTAAAATACTATCATCATTATCATTATCAATATTATTATCATTCCCGTAATTATCATCAATATTAATCATTTTTACTGGATAACTGATAACGAGAACATTCTTGACCTGTTACTGCTGCTGTTCCCACCACCACAACACAAACAGTTATTATGATAACAACAAAATCAAAAACTATATTGAGGGCAGTGATAATGACAAAATTAATGCTAACAGAGAGAAAAAAGAGGACAACCAAAAACATCGATAATATAATAACTGTTGGTGATGATAATATTAATAAGAATAAGAACAAGAATATGAATATAAATAATGATGCTGTTGATGATGACGATGATAATAAAACTGATACTGCTAATGATACTGATACTATTACTACTATTGCTATTAACAATAGCAAAGATAATAATGATAATAATAAAGACAAAAATATAATCATAGCAGCAGTAGTAGTAGTAGCAGTAGTAGTAATGATAATAATAATTATAGTAACAACAACATCATCAACAACAAAACAATAATGATAATAATAATAATGATAATGATGATAATGATAATAATGGTAATAGAAATAATCATCATCATCATTGTTATTATTATTACTACTATTATTATCATTATTAAAAAAATATATATAATGATCATAACACTAATAGTAATAATAATGATAACAATAATGATAAAGACATAATAATGATAATAATAATAATGATAATGATAATAACACCAATGATAATGGTAATGCGAAATAATAAAAACTGACAATAATCATAATTACGATAACAATCAATAAAAGAAAAGATAATAACAATAATGATTATGAAAAATGATGATGATGATGTGATAGTGGTGATGATGTAATGATGGTGATGATGATAGCAATGATGATAATAATGTTAATGATAATGATGATGTGATGTTATTGATGTGATGATGATGATACTGATAGTAATGGTGCTGGTGGTGATGGTAATGATAATGATGGTGATGATATGGGATGGTGATAATGGTGATGAAAATGATAATGATGACGACAATGAAGATGATGATAATGATGATGATGATGATGATGATGATGATGATGATGATGATGATGATGATAATGATAATAATAAAAATAATAATAACAAAAAACAATAATGATAACAATCATATTAACAAATTGACAACAGTGACAAAAATAATAATTGTAATGACGATGAAGATATCAACACCAACAACTAATGCAGCAATAATAGTTGTAGCGTAAAGAAAACAGTCAAGGAAGGAAGGAAGGGAGCGACAGGGGAAGGCACAGAGAAAGGAAGCGAAGGCAGAGGCACGCCGAAGGGCGCAGAGGACAGCGAACGGACAGAGGGCACCGCCGGCGGAAGGAGAAGGCAGGGGAAGGCGTACGCGAAGGGAAGGAGGAGTGAACGAGACGCGGGACCGACACGGGGGAGGTATAGAAGGAAGACAGCGAAGGAGCACAGCGCAAAGGGACATGGAAGAAGCATGGGAAGTGGATACGCACGATTGAAAGTTCTCCTCAGGGAGAGGTGAGAAGGAGAAGCAGGGACGCGAAAAGGAAGGGACAAGAGCAAGTGTTATGGGGCGCGAAGGAAGGAAGAGGAGCCGCGAAAGGGAAGGAAGGAGGGGACGCACGAGGGAAGGAAAAGGTAAGGAAGGAAGGGCACGCCGTATAGGGAAGGAAGGAAGAAGGGGTGTCGAGAGAAGGAAGGAAACGGAGGGTGAGACGCGCGAGTCGAGGATGCTGAGGAAGGAAAGGAAGGGCACGTCGGACCAGAGGAAGGAAGGAGGTAGGAGACGGCGAGTAATCAAAAGGGAAGGAGGGAGGGAAGTGCAAGCGGGACGCGCGTATTTTAAGTGTGTAAGGATATGGAAGGTATAGGAGGCACGTGCACAGCGATAGGTCGAAGGAAGGGAGGGGACGCGAAAGGAGTCGAAGCGAAGGAAGGAAGGGCAACGCGAAGGGCGGAAGGAAGAAGGGGACGCGGAAGGGAAGGAAGGAAGGAAGCGGCACGCCCGAAGGGAAAGGAAGGAAGGAAGGGCACGCGAAGGGAAGGAAGAAGGGGACGGCGAAGGGAAGAAGGAAGGAAGGGGACGCGGGAAGGGAAAGGAAAGGAAGGAGGAGGGGACGCGAAGGGAAGAAGGGAACGCGAAGGGAAGGAAGGGGACGCGAAGGGAAGGAAGGAAGGAAGGAAGGGGACGCGAAGGGAAGGAAGGAGGACGGGACGCGAAGGGAAAGGAAGTAAGGAAGGAAGGGCACGCGCGAAGGGAAGGAGGAAAGAAGGAAGGGCAGCGCAGAAGGGAAGAGGCAGGAAGGAAGGGCACGCGAAGGGAAGGAAGAAAGAAGGGCACGCGAAGGGAGAAGGAAGGAAGGGCCACGCGAAGGGAAAGAAGGAGGAGAAGCCGCGAAGGAGGAAGGAAGAAGGAAGGGCACGCGAAGGGAAGCCGAGGAAGGAGGAAGGCGACGCGAAGGAATGGAAGGAAGGAGGCAGCGGCGACGCGAGAGGAAGGCATAGAAGGAAGGCACGCGCACGCGAAGGGACAATAATTGGGGAGGAGGGGAAAAGTATGAGGGGGCGGCGAGAGGGAGGAAGGAGAGACTCACGAAAGGAAAGGAAGGAAGGAAGGCAGGCGAAGGGAGGAAGGAAGGAAGGGCAAGGACGCGAGAGAGTAAGGAAGGAAGGAAGGAAGGAGGAGAGGGAAGGAAGGAAGGAAGGAAGGCGACGCGAAGGGAGAGGGTATATGAGGAAGGAAGAGGGAAGCGAAGGGAAAGATAGGAAGGAAGGGCAACGCGAAAGGGAAGGAAGGAAGGAAGGGCAGGCGAAGGGAAGGAAGAGGAAAGGGCAGACGAGAAGGAAGGCAGGAAGGAAGGGCACGCAGAGGAAGGAAGGAAGGAAGTGGCAGGCGAAAGGGAAGGAAAGGAAGGATGGGCAATGGAAGGGAAGGAAGAAGGAAGGGCAGGCGAAGGGGAAGGAGAGGGAAGGAAGGCACTTGAAGGGAAGGAAGGAAGGAAGGGCACGCGAAGGGAAGGAAGGAAGGAAGGAAGGGCACGTGAAGGGAAGGAAGGAAGGAGGAAGGGCACTGCGAAGGGAAGGAAGGGAGAAGGGGACGCGAAGGGAAGATAGGAAGAAGGGCAGGCGAAGGGAAAGGAAGGAAGGAAGGGCAGGCGTAAAGGGAAGGAAGGAAGGGCACGAAGCGAAGGGAAGGATAGGAAGGAAGGGGGCAAGGCAGAAGTGGAAACGCGAAGGAAGGCACTCTCGAGAGGGAAGGAAGGAAGCAGAGCACCGTATGGCAAGATGTAGGAAAGAGAAGGAAGGGGACGAGCGAAAGAACGGAAAAAGAAAGCCGAAGTGAAGGCAGCATGAGACCCATCAGAAGAAGACAGTATAGGGAAGATGAAGTGTAAGGTGGACATACTGTATCCAATCCATTTCGAGTTATTAGGGAAGGACAGGGGACGCGAAGGGAAGGAAGAAGGAAGGGGAACGTCTACGAAAGTCGGAATGGAAAGGAAAGCGATAAGCGCCAACAGGAGCACGCGACAGCCGCACACGGCCATGGAAAGGAAAGGAGCACCAGCAACGAAGGGAAGGAAGGTGGACGCGTAAAGGGAAGGACATAAAAAGAAAGGAAACGGGCCGTGGGACCGACAAGGGAAGGGTAAAGAAGGAAGGATCGCGAAGGTGTTACGGGATAAGCGCGGAAAGGATAGTGTCACGCACGTGGGACCGTGAACCGCGGGCGCTCGTGTAATGTGGAAGGAAGGAAGGGGACGCGAGGCACAAGGGCGATGGCGCGCAAGGGACCCAAGGAAGGGGGACACCGCGAAGGGAAGGAAAAGGAAGGAACGGCAGGCGGAAGGGAAGGAATGGCAGAGAAAGGAAGGGCACGGCGACACGCGGCAGAATGCGAAGGAAGGGAAGGGCATCGCGAAAGGGAAGGAAGAAAGAGGGGGCACGGCGAAGGGACAACGAGCACAACGAAGGAAGGTGCCGCGAAGGGAAGGGAGTAAGGAAAGGAAGGGGAGGAAGGGAAGAACGGAAAGGAGGGCAAGCGAAGGGAATTAACTAGTGACCAGTGAAGGGTGCGCGGAAAGGGAAGGCGAAGGGACAGGATGCTACTACGCCGAGAGGAAGGAAGCACAAACGAAGGGCACCCCGAGCGAAGGGGGAAGAGTGTGTATAAGGGAAAGGCGGGACGCGCCATGCAAAGGTGAGAAGAAAGGACCAGGAACGGTGCCCGCAGAAGGGGAGAGAGACCAAAGGAAGAAGAAGGCACACAAGGCACGCGAAGGATAGGGAAATATTGAAGGAAAAGGAAGGCGACGCGACGATGACAGTGGTCAATACGCGAAGGAAGAAGGAGGCACGCAAGGGAAGGAAGGAAGGAAGGAAGCGACGCAGAAGGGAAGGAAGGAAGGAAGGAAGGGGGACACGCGCACCTGAGAGAAGTGCAAAGCGAAAGAAGGAAGGGCACGCACAGAAGGGGAAGGAAGATAGGACGGTGCAAAACAGCGAAGTGGGACAGGAAAGAAGAAGGGGCACTGCGACAGGGAAGATGTATATGTATATGGATAAGGTGGCGCGAAGGGAAGGAAGGAAGAAAGGAGGGCAAGCGAAATGGGAAGGAAGGAAGGAATGGAAGGCGACGAAAGGAAGGAAGAGAAGGGGACGACGAAGGGAAGATAGGAAGGAAGGGCACGCGAAAGGGAAGAAGGAAGGAATGGGGCACGCGAACAGGGAAGGAAGGAAGGAAGGCACGCGAATGCAAGGGAAGGGAAGGAAAGGAGGGCACGCGAAGGGAAGAAGGAAGGAAGGGCACGTGAGGACAGGAAGGAAGGAAAAAAAAGGAAAGGAAGGGGTACGCGAAGGGATAGAAGGAAGGAAGTGGCAGAAGTCGAAGGGAAGGTAAGTGTACTAAGGAAGGGCAGGGCGAAGGGAGGAAAGGAAGGATGGGCAAGCGTGAAGGGAAGGAAAATGAAGAGTGAAGGGGATGTCGAAATGGGAAGGAAGGAAGGAAGAGACGCAGAGTGGAAGGAAGCGCAGGGCACGCGAAGGGAAGGAAGGAAAGAAAGGGCACGCGAAGGGAAGGAAGGAAGGAAGGGCACGCGAAGGGAAGCGAAGGAAGGGACGCGAAGGAAGGAAGGAAGGAAAGGGGACGCGAAAGGGAAGGAAGGAAGGAAGAAGGGCACGCGAAGTGGAAGGGAAAGGAAGGAGGCACCGCGAAGGGAAGGAAGGAAGGAAGGAAGGGGACGCGAAGGGAAGATAGGAAGGAAGGGCACGCGAAGGGAAGGAAGGAAGGAAGGGCAGGCGAAGGGAAGGAAGGAAGGGCAGGAAGGAAGGACAGGAGGGAACGCGAAGGGAAGAAGGAAGGAAGGGGCACGCGAAGGGAAGGAAGGAAGGAAGGGCAACGCGAGGGAAGGAAGGAAGAGCACACGAAGGGAAGGAAGGAAGGAAAGGGAGGGCACGCAAGGAAAGGAAGGAAGGAAGGGCACGCGAAGGGAAGTAAGGAAGGAAGGGCACCGCGAAGAAGGAAGGAAGGAAGGAAGGGCACGCGAAGGGAAGGGAAGGAGGAAGGGACGCGAAGGAAGGAAGGAAGGAAAGGACGCGAAGGAAGGGAAGATAGGAAGGAAGGGCACGCGAAGGAAAGGAAGGAAGGAAGGGCACGCGAAGGGAAGGAAGGAAGGGCACGCGAAGGGAAGGAAGGAAGGAAGGAAGGAAGGGCACGCGAAGGGAAGGAAGGAAGGAAGGGCCACGGCGAAGGAAGGAAGGAAGGAAGGACGCGAAGGGAAGATAGGAAGGAAGGGCAGACGCGAAGTGAAAGGAAGGAAAGGAGGAAGGGCACGCGAAGGGAAGGAAGGGAAGGGCACGCGAAGGGAAGGAAGAAGGAAGGGCACGCGAAGGGAAGGAAGGAAGGGGACGCGAAGGGAAGGAAGAAGGAAGGGCACGAAGGAAGGAAGGAAGGAAGGGCACGCGAAGGGAAGATAGGAAGGAAGGGCACGCGAAGGAAAGGAAGGAAGGAAGGAAGGGAAAAGGGAAGGAAGGAAGGAAGGGCAGGCGAAGGGAAGGAAGGAAGGAAGGGCACGCGAAGGGAAGAAGAAGAAGAAGGGCGCGCGAAGGGAAGGAAGGGGCGCGAAGGGAAGGAAGGAAAGGAAGGGCACGCGAAGGGAAGGAAGGGAAGAAGGCACGCGAAGGGAAAGAAGGAGGAAGGAAGAAGTAACGCGAAGGGAGGAAGGGAAGGAAGGACACGCGAAGCACAAGGAAGGAAGGGAAGGAAGGAATAAGGAAGGAAGGGGCACGAAGGGGAAGGGAGGAAGAAGGAAGGGCACGCGAAGGGAAGGAAGGAAGGAAGGGCACGCGAAGGGAAGGAAGGAAGGAAGGGCACGCGAAGGGAAGGAAGGAAGGAACGAAGGGAAGAGGAAGGAAGGCACGCGAAGGGAAGGAAGGAAGGAAGGGCCACGCGAGGAGGAAGGGAGGAAGGGGCACGCGAGGGAAGGAAGGAAGGGCACGCGCGGGAAGGAAGGAAGGAAGGCACGCGAAGGGAAGGAAGGAGAAGGAAGGGCAACAAGGAAAGGAAGAAACGCGAAGGGAAGGAAGGAAGGAAGGAAGGGAGGAAGCGAAGGGACGCGAAGGGAAGGAAGGAGGAAGGGCACGCGAAGGGAAGGAAGGAAGGAAGGGGCAAAGGGAAAGGAACAAGGGACTTGGAAGGGAAGGAAGGAGGGGACGCGAAGGGAAGGAAGGAAGAATGGGAGGGCACGCGAAGGAAGAGGAAAGAAGGGCACGCGAAGGAAGGAGGAAGGAAGGAAGGGGACGCGAAGGGAAAGGAAGTGAAGAAAGGAAGGGGACGCGAAGGGGAAGGAAGGAAGGAAGGCACGCGAAGGGGGAAGGAAGGAGGGGCAGCGAAGGAAGGAAGGAAGGAAAGGAAGGGAAGCGAAGGGAAGGAAGGAAGGAAGGAAGGGCACGAAGGAAGGAAGGAAGGAAGGACGCGAAGGGAAAGGAAGGGCGAGGAGGGAAGGAAGGAAGGAGGCGCGAAGAAGGGAAAGGAAGGAAGGAAAGGGCGGAGGGGAGGGACACACGAAAGGAAGGGAAAGGGAAGGAAGGAAGAAGGGGACGCGAAAGGAGGAAGGAAAGGAAGGGGACGCAAGGAAAGGGAAGGAAGGAAGGGGACGCGAAGGGAGGAGGAAGGAAGGAAGGCACGCGAAGGGAAGGAAGGAGGGGGCACGCGAAGGGAAGGAAGGAAGGAAGGGCACGCGAAGGGAAGGAAGGAAGGGCACGCGAAGGAAAAGAAGGGCACGCGAAGGAAAGGGGAAAAGGGGGGCACGCGAAGGAGGAAGGAAGGAAGGGCACGCGAAGAGGAAGGAAAGGAAGGAAAAGGAAGAAGGAAGGGCACGCGAAGGGAAGAAGGAAGGAAGGGCACGCGAAGGGAAGGAGAGGAAGGACGCGAGGAAGGAAGGAAGGGGACGCGAAGGGAGGAAGGAACGAAGGGGACGCGAAGGAAGGAAGGAAGGCGAAGGGGACTTGAAGGGAATTAAGGAAGGAAGGGACGCGAAAGGGAAGGAAGGAAGGAAGGAAGGGCAACGCGAAGGAGAGAAGGAAGGGCGCGAAGGAAAGGAAGGAAGGAAAGGGCACGCGAAGGGACCGAAGGAAGAAGGCACGAAGGGAAGGAAGAAGGAAGGGCACGCGATGAACAGGAAGGAAGGGAAGGAAGGGCACGCGAAGGGAAGGAAGGAAGGAAGGGCACGCGAAGGGAAGGAAGGAAGGAAGGGGACGCGAAGGGAAGGAAGGAAGGGGACGGAAGGAACGCGGGCGAAGCGAACGGAAGGAAGGAAGGAGAAGGAAGGGGGCACGCGAAGGGAAGGAGGAAGGAAGGAAGGGGACCGCGAAGGAGGAAGGAAGGAAGGAAGGAAGGGACGAAGGGAAGGAAGGAAGGAAGGGCACGGCGAAAGGGAAGGAAGGAAGAAGGGCACGCGAAGGGAAAGGGGAGGGGACAAGGAATTTGGGCACGCGAAGGGAAGGAAGAAGGAGAAGGGCACGCGAAGGGAAAGGAAAGAAGGCACACGAGGGAAGGAAGGAAGGAAGGAAGGGGACGCGAAGGGAAGGAAGGAAGGAATGAAGGGCACGCGAAGGAAAGGAAAGAAGGGCACGCGAAGGGAAGGAAGGAAGGAAGGAAGGGGACGCGAAGGGAAGGAAGGAAGGAAGGAAGGGCACGCGAAGGGAAGGAAGGAAGGAAGGGCACGCGAAGGGAAGGAAGGAAGGAAGGCAGGCGAGGGAAAGGAAGGAAGGAAGGGAGAAGAAGGAAAGGGGACGCGAAGGGAAGGAAGGAAGGAATGAAGGAACGGAAGGAAAGGAAAAGAAGGCACGCGAAGGGAAGGAAGGAAGGAAGGAAGGGGACGCGAAGGAAGGAAGGAAGAAGGGAAGGGGACGCGAAGGGAAGAAGGAAGGAGGGCACGCGAAGGGAAGGAAGGAAGGAAAGGGAAGGAAGGGAGGAAGGAAGAAAGGAAGGGAAGGAAGGAAGGAAGGAAGGAAGCGAAGGGAAGGAAGGAAGGAAGGGACGCGAAGGAAGGAAGGAAGGGCACGCCGAAGGGAAGGAAGGAAGGAGGCGCGAAGGGAAGAAGGAAGGGGCGAAGGGAAGAAGGAAGGGAGAAAGAAGGAAGGAGGAAGGAAGGAAGGAAGGAAGGAAGGGCACGCGAAGGGAAGGAAGGACGCGAAGGAAGGAAACGCGAAGGGAGAAGGAAGGGGACGCGAAGGGAAGGAAGGAAGGAAGGGGACGCGAAGGGAAGGAAGAAGGAAGAAGGAAGGGAAGGAAGGAAGGGCGCGAAGGGAAGGAAGGAAGGAAGGGCACGCGAAAGGGAAGGAAGAAGGGCACACGAAGGGAAGAAGGGCACGCGAAGGGAAGGAAGGGGAAGGGCACGGAAGGGAAGGAAGGAAGGAAGGGCACGCGAAGGAAGGAAGGAAGGAAGGAAGGGCACGCGAAAGGAAAAGGAAGGAAGGGGACGCGAAGGGCAAGGAAGGGGAAGGAAGGAAGGCACGCGAAGGGAAGGAAGGAAGGGGACGCGAAGGGAAGGAAGGAGGAAGGGCACGCGAAAGGAAAGGAAGGAAGGGGACGCTGGAAGGAAGGGCACGCGAAGGGAAGGAAGGAAGGAAGGGCACGCGAAGGGAAGGAAGGAAGGGCACGCGAAGGGAAGGAAGGAAGGCACGCGAAGGGAAGGAAGGAAGGAAGGCACGCGAAGCGGAAGGAAGGAAGGAAGAAGGAAGGCACGCGAAGGGAAGGAGGAAGGGCACGCGAAGGAAGGAAGGAAGGAAAGAAGGGCACGCGAAGGGAAGGAAGGAAGGGCACGCGAAGGGAAGGAAGGAAGGAAAGAAGGAAGGGCACGCGAAATGAGGCACGGTACTTCTACTGCCAATGATGACGACGACGACGATGGGGACTGTGATAGCAATGGTGATGAGGATATTGATGATGATGGCGGTGATAATAATGACAGCTACCAGAATAATAAAAACAAATATAATGATGATGGTAATGATGATAATAAAATTGAAGGTAATAATGGCAATGCGCTTGAAGGCAAGAACGACCGTGACAGCTCCCGCAGCACTCCTAAAAGCCACTGCAGCCCAGGGCGTCCGGCGGCGGGCCTCACCGAGCGTCATGGCGGTGAGGGTGAAGTCGTGGTCCATCAGCTGGCCCCACGCGATGAGCATGAGCGTGGCGGCGTGGTCGTGGAAGCCCTCGTCCCGGTGGACCATGGCCGAGACCAGGCGGGGGTTGGGGAGCGTGGCCCCCCGCGCCGAGCTCTGGCGGGGGGCGCTGATGCCGTCTGCATAGGCCGCGGGCAGGAACCTTCGGGGAAGAGGAATGGCTCAATAAGAGATCAGAATGGCAGGGCTGGTTTGCGTTCAGTCATGGATAATAAAGTCACAGCTGCTGCTGGTGCTGTTCTTGCGGCCAAAGGCGGCGCAGGAAGGAGCTCGGCAGCCTCAGCTTCATGGCCTGCGGAGAGAATGGACTCGAGACAAAGCGGAAGGATGAGGCAAAAGTGAAAGGAGCGATATGAAGCAGGATCTCGAGCGAGAGACAATAGAAAAAAAAATCGAAACAAAGCACAAAAGTTGATGGAAACTGGAAGGAATAGCGCACATTCACTAAGTGATGAAATATTAATTTTATTTCAGGGCATTGGAAGTGTATCCCCCTCTCTCTGTACTAGGATTAAAGATGAGAATTTTATGCTACATCAGTCACTGTCAGGATTGATTTGTCTCGTACACGTAAAAAGTCTGCATGTTTATTTAACACGTTGCAGACTGGGCAGCACTTCCGTGATTTTACGTAAAATATAGCCATGTGAAACCTAATGATCTAATTCAGTATCTTTGTTTGTGGGCACTAGTGTAGTGCCCATTCAATATGTGCCTGCCCGACATATACTGGTCACATACAATACACGCGCACGATTAACGTCAACGGCATTGCTTTCTTCAGGACTGTAAACGCTTTTCCGACCTGCCAGACGCATCTTCTGCCTTTGGCTATGAAAATAAGAGAGAAGGAAAAGAAAGGCTGATGTTATACAACAGTGGTTCCTAACCATTTATACGACCGCACCCCAAGAAAATTTTACTATGCCCTCGCACCCCATTTAAATTTATAGCTTATTTAATACAATGGCTCTTTTCTTCCTGTTTCTTGGTTATTAGTTAATAGATTAGTTGCTTGTCTTCAAGATGAACACTTTTCGCACTCCTTGGAACCCTTCCCCCTCCTCCTCCTCCTCGTCCCCCTCTCCCCTTCTCCTCCTCCTCCTCCTTCCTCTTCCTCTTCCGGGAGGAGGAGGAGGAAAGGGAGGAGGAGGAGGAGGAGGAGGAGGAGGACCCCCAGGGGTGCGAGCACCTCTGGTTGGGAAACCGTTTTACAAGATACCCTCAGGGAATACTCACTTGGGAAATGACGGCAAAATGGATGGATTCGTTCACTAAAGTGGGATCAGTGGCGTAAGTGTAAAGACTTTTAGAGTT